ATTATTGTAAATATAATAAATCCTTGATATAAAATAAAATTTGTTTCAATTAAAATTAAATCGTTTATACAAAAAAAAAAAAACAAACCGGTACATTGGTACTGGCACCATTTTTTTTACTCACTAAGAGCACTGAGCTAAATGTAGTGAACAATTTATTTCATTCAATAAAGATAGACAAGTACAGACAGGCTGAAAATTTCGGGAATCAAGGAAGTGACACAACATTACTATTTAAAAATGTATTTATTGCTTTTCAAAGTATTCTCCGCGAAATTTGACACATTTTTCCATACGACGGAACCGATCATTGAAGCAACCATTCCATTTGGAAGTTGGGGTCTCCAAAATGGCCGTTTTGTAGGCGTCCACAGCTTCTTCAGGTGATGAAAATCTCTGTCCACGCAATTTATTCTTTATTTTAGGGAAAGTATAGAAATAATTAGGGCTTAGGTCGGGGCTGTACGGCGGATGGTCTAATAATTCTATGTTTTCTTGCTCTAAAAACTCTTTTGTTCTGTGTGCGGTGTGAGAACTCGCATTGTCGTGATGGAGGATGATGCGGAGGTTGCAGTTATCTTTACGGAGTTCAGAAACAACCTGTGGCAAACAAATGCTAGCATACTATTCTGCATTAACCGTTCTTTGTCCCTCAAGAGGAATAGTCGTAATATGGCCGGTTTTGGAGACAAACGTGGCCACCATTTTTTTTTGCAACACTCCGTGAACGAACAATTTTTGTTGGCTTTAACTCATTTTCGAACACCCAAACTCGTGACTGGTTTTTTGTTTCGGGTTCGTACGCGTATATCCAGGATTCGTCACCTGATACGATGTTGTATACAGCATTTGAGGATCCTGCGTGGAATCTTTCGAGAGTTCTGATGTACCAAGTAACGCGAGCCGCTTTTTGCTCTTCACAAAACGAATGCGGTATCCATCGGGAAAACAACTTTTTTACACCTAATTGTTCATGCAAGATTATTTGTATTTGACTCATGCCAATATCTAAAGTTACCTGAATTTCGCGGTACGTCACATGTCGATCGTCGAGCTTACGCACAGCATCAACGTTTTCTTGGGTGACTGCAGTTTTTGGACGACCTTGACGGGGATCATCAATGAGCTTGTCACGTCCACGTTGAAATTCAGCAAACCATCGATAAATTGTGGTTTTTGATGGGGCTTCATCACCAAATGCAGAAATCATCCGGTCAACACACGGTTTTTGTGTTAAACCACTTCGAAAGTCATAATAAATCATCGCTCTTGAATTTTGTCGAGTCAATTCCATTTTCTCAACGACTAAACAAGTTTGACAAAACCTTGTGACAAGACCGAGAATCTTTTTTTAAATAAATAAATGGTATTCGATTTTTAAAACCAAGGAGTTTTCAATTAAAAAGATTTTAATATGACAGGAACAGTGGAAATATTCCATTCCCGATACTTTTAGTGCAGCCTAGTACAATTAAGTTTTTAACCGGTGTGTGCATTGTAATCGGCTCCAATGTAAAAAGCGATAAGCAAATAGTGAGTAATTTGCTATGGAGCGTGAAAATGATTCCTTCGTCTTACTCAAGCTTAAAGTGATGACCCTGAGAAAATCCATGGGCACATTAGAATAATTTTAATCAAGTGAGATTATTTTTTAAAACTGGTTTAAAAAAATTGTCCACGATTGCAGCCACAATTTACCAAGTTATACCATTTTGGAATTCTAACTAAATGCGTCAACTTTTGATGCTACTTGCCAAACTCGCTTGTTAAAAATTTTTTCAACACGGTCCGTTAAATCAAGACAAATTTTTATTTTGGATTTTTTTTAGAAAATAATTCCACTTTTCTGGAAAAGTTTCTAGTGAAACTGGTTTTGAAATTTTGAGTTAATTTTGATTAACAGTTTAGAGAAGCATTATTCAGAGTTGTACAACAAAATAAAAGTTAGAAAATTAAAGATTCGTGGCAACAGGAGTGAAAAGACTGTCACAGGATGTGAAAGTTTACTTTTTTAAATGTCTATAATTCTTAGATATTTTTAAATTTTTCTGAAAACCAACATGGCTTGTCTTTTCACTCGGTTGTGGGTTGACTTCGAGTTTTGGGACACACGATATTTTGGATACCACCACATATGGAACTTTAAAAAAATTATTATTACCCACTGTATTGCTTCTTGCTTTTCTTCTTCGTCTTTATTTTAAAACAAATTGCTAGAAAAAAGTTTAACAATGTAAGTTTCAGGATATATATAAACCAGTAACCAGTAGAAATAAGGAACGCATATAACGCGGTATCAATAGCATTAAACTGGAAAAATCAATACTTTACCAATTATTGATTTTTTTACAACAATGTGGACCAGTCTTAATGTAAATTACATTAAGACTGGTCCAAGGCGAGAATTATTACATGCACCTAACGATACTGATACTGATACCGATAATGTTACCGATATTGATTTAGGTAGGTACCAATATCGTTAGGTGCACATAACAATTCTTGCGTTTGACCGGTCTTGTCGTATTTGTATCAAAACTGTTTGCCTCCAAACACGACGGATTTAGTGCAACCAATGGATCAAGCTTTCAAGATCTTTTAAAAAAATTCTGGATACCATGGAATTTGATTTTGACGTGACTGTTTAGGATTGCTGGAGAATAGACAAGCGAAATTAACAGCGGCAGAACCAGAAAATGTTGACATAAACCAATAAATAAGGACACATCTAATGCGGGAGAGTCTGTGAACTTTTACGTTTTGGTATTTCTAAAAGAAAATCTTTTTATGTCTTTAGTACGCTGCGCGAGTTAACAAGAGGTTCAAATTCTAGTCCTGTATTCAATTTACACATGCGTTTTGGTTGAAAACTGTTTAAAACTTACAAAAATCGTCAGGTAGTTTATTCGCATTGTGTGTTAGGTGAGATTCAGTACAACGCAGAATATGAACCACGACAGTAAAAATCGTGCGCCGAGTTGTCGCTAATTGAGCTTTTTGAAAGAAATTTAATTTTAAGCATGCATTATCTGATATATAAAAATACTGCAATCAAAATATAAATCAAGGTAGCTTTTAACATTAGGGGATTTTGGATCTTTTCTCTATTTGTGTCTCGACTTTTACTGGACGGATTTCCCTGAAATTTGGTATGTAGAGTAGTGAAAGGCTCTGCGTAACTTCTGAAGAGCAGAAAAGGCTTTTGTTTTGCCTTTATCTTGGTTTATTTTCATAATCGCTGCTTATGATTTTTTTAGTAGTAAAGACGTAGGGTACCTATTTAAAATGTATAGTACCTGGATGACCGAGCATTGCTCGATGTTTTTTTTTTTGGAAATCGTGTGTTTTGGAAATTATATTTAGATAAAAATTACATACTGATAAAATATGAAGAATTCTTTTTGATCTTACCGACATTAAAAAAAATACTAAAAAAAGGGCCCGAAATAATAGATTTTCTCACAAAAGAAGGGAAATTGAAAAAAAAAGGAAAAAAGTCAGACCGAAGACAGGGCGCGAACCAGAGACTGCGATTTCGCGACGGGCCGATATCCACTTGAGCTATTACGATCATTAATACAGTGTCAAAATTTACCTTCTTATATTGTAGCAGTTTATTCATTGCCTGAGACACGACAATCACGGACAAAACGATATTTTTTAAAGATGAATCCTAGCTAGATCGATTTATTGCCCCCGAAATCCTCTGGACACTAAATTTTACGAAAATCGTTGTAGCCGTTTCCGAGATTCCGATTATATATATATATATATATATATATATATATATAATATAAATATATATATATATATATATATACAAGAATTGCTCGTTTAAAGATATAGGATTAAATCGTATATATTGTACATATAATTAAAGTTTATTATAATTAAATATGTTAACATTAGTACGTTTTAAATAAGGCGCCGTCTATTATAGTGAAGAATGACTTTGGGTGGGTATAACTTCAGTTACGCATCCATAAATTAAACGTTTGCAAATATATCGAGCACAAATATGCCCAAAGTGATATGTCTGATTTTGAGATGTGAATGATTACTTTAATGTTGAATAATTCTTAAATAAATATAATTAACTTTTTCGTTTAACTCCCAATAGGTATCACCACAGTTTAAAATATTTAGAAAATCCGAAAGTGTACACCTTGATCGCTCAAGATAACAAAATAAAACTGTTGTCACTATGATCTATGGATTATAAAATAAATAAAGTTTGGAGACGTTAAAGTAACAATTAAAAACAAATGATTACATTATTCTTAACTCAATCGATACTATAGTAAGCACAATGATATTTTTTTAAACTTTATTGATCCTCACATATTAAGTACAAGATCAAAAGTACTAAAATATATACATATTATACATATAATTGTTATTAATTGATATTTTTAGTAAGTAGAATATTTTTAAAGAATTGCGCACCTTTATCTTGGAACTCTGAACAGCAATTAATTTTATTAATATAATATTATATAAAATACTAGCGATCCGCCCAGCTTTGCGCGGGTGATTTCCGGGATTTCTACTATAACGCAAAGAACTATCTAGGTGACCGTATAAATATCTAAAAAAATTTGATCGAAATTGGTCATGCCGTTTAGGAGGGGAAGAATTACAAACATAAGCACACAAACACACTGGAATCTTATGTATAAAGGATGAACATAACAAATGTATTGCAAATTCAGCTTAACCGTTATAATAACAAAGAAGCCGCTAGAAATATCTGTAGAATCAAATTATATACATACGATTTTTTTTTGCGCCCGAAGCAAATATGGGCAACCCTCCAGAAAGTTGATAATAATTAGTAGATATGGCTTATACTTAATTTTTAGTTGATATTTAATGGAGGATAGTTGTATGTGTCTATGGGCCGCAGCATCTACTTACCATCATACCATCAGGTGGATTGTGTACTCGCTTGTCACCCTTATCTATAAAAAATATACATCAACCTAACTTTAATTACTTACATTTCAACACGTTCCACTTTGATACCCCAAGCTTCGGTTGCTTCGTCCAAAGAGATTTGCATGTTTCCGGATATAGTCTCCCTTTCGCTTAGAATCTCATGAAGTGGTCGAGTGCCCATAGTGTTGCGAAGAGTCGTTTGAGCGAGGAGACGAGTAGAGTGATGAGCATTCTCTACATTGGCAATAGATATAGTGGCGTTATGGACACGATAATAAACCACTGCATCGACGGACACAGTCACGGAGTCTTTGGTCAAAACCTAGAAGCAAGATAATATAGCATAATTAATGTGGTCGACTGCCCATAGTGTTGCGAAGAGTCTTTTGAGCCAGGAGACGAGTAGAGTGATGAGCATTCTCTACGTTGGCAATAGATATAGTGGCGTTATGGACACGATAATAAACCACTGCATCGACGGACACAGTCACGGAGTCTTTAGTCAAAACCTAGAAGCAAGATAATATAGCGTAATTAATGTGATTCAGTAAGCTGAAACGTCAAAGGTTTGGCTATTTCCAGATGTGTCCGTTTACCCTTGAGGACTTAAATGAATGTTATGTTTCCAGTTAAAAAGTCTCCGGTTCTCTACATGGTCCTTTCCCAGTTGAGCCGACCCATTTAATTAATGTACATAATATAGTTGCACAGGAACTCTACCACATATAACTACCTATCACCCGATGGTAAGTGACTATTGGCATTATTGGCCAGGCTTGCAGCTTGCTGTAAACTTCAGGCTCAGTCAGGCATTCTATCTTAAACCCCAGAGGTGACAATGTATCTGTAGCCTTCTTTCTACTTCTAGAACTGATAATAGTAGGGTTAGGAAAAGCTCCTCGAATGTCATCAACATTTTACTAGTCAACGGAGTATAGTCTACTAACCTCTTTCAAGAATTAGTGACCTGCAGTACCATTGTGTAACCGTCGGTGACTTCGCTTTAACGTTTGACGTTTGATTCGCTGTATGGTGTAATTACGTAACAATATGGCATTGTAAGAATATCTACTACTTCATATCGTCACATGGGTGTCGTAAGGTTAGACAAAGGTAAATTAAAGCAGAAGATTGACAGCATTTTTTAATGACAAAACTCGAAATAATACTACATGCAAGGCGTGGCAAGTATCGAAAAATCCACCCGATATAGTGTTTCAGTCTATGGCAGGGGCCTTTTGTAAGTTCTAATAGATGGATGGATGGATTGTGAGCTGAGAGGCCGATTTTACTTATCATATTGGAAAAATATAACGCGGTTGTATAGTGACTCCCACTGTTAATGATTTCACCAGAGTTCACTGCTGATTATGCAGCATTAGATTATAACGGCAGCGTATAAAAAGTTACAGCCTATATACGTCCCACTGCTGGGCATAGACCTCCCCTCATTTCTGAGAGAGTTTTAGGACAAGGAAGTGTCCGCCGCGCTGCCCCAATGCGTGTTGGCGAACTTCACAAGTCTTCGAAATTTTCATATTCCTCAGATATGCAGGTTTCCTCACGATGTTTTCCTTCACCGCCGAGCACGTGGTAAATCAGCACTTAAAATTGCAAGTAACAATTTCATTGGTGTCGGCGGGGATCAAACCCGGGTTACTCGCGTTCTGTTATATTTACAGCGAACGTTAACCATCTGAGCTACCACGGCTATGTATACACGGGTATTGTATAGGAAACTATAGTTATAAGTCATCATCTCGCCGAGTTTTGCGTTTAATGTATTATAATCTTCTCTATATATAAAAATCAATATTGTTCGGTATCGTTAAAACTAAAAAACGGCTCGGCGGACCGGCGATGCAAAGGAATGACAACGGTGCGAGATTTTAATACTGCGATCGTTAATCTACCTTCCGAGAATGACGGTGAAGGCAAAGCCTATAACAGCAGGGGGCTTTATCCAGTGATATACTTTTACGCGCTGGCGATGATGGTTATAACCGTGGCAGCCTATTAAAATCTACTGCTGAACATAGATCTCCCTATAGATTGTCTCATAGGAGATATTTGCCATACTATCCACCCTTGGCAAGCGCGTTGGAAACCGCAGTTTATTTTTTATTTTTAGTCGTTATAAGGAAGACGCTTCTGTCCATCTCCTGATTTGTTTTCCTCTGTCTCTTCTTACTACACCACGGTAGTGGATATTCTTACAGCGCCACTACCCGGCAAGAAATCACTTTAATGGACGTGGATCTTCCCTTTGGTTAGGAGAACGGACGGAGGTGTTGTAACTTACGCTTAGGAGGTTGACTAGCTACGGCCATTTAAACACACTGAATGTCTCTTGTACTGAATTAATTAGTTGGAATTGTACAATTAGGAATGAAGAAAATTTAACTGTAATAGTAAACAAAAGGTTGTGAGTTCGAATCTCATGTTTTTACTAACCGGATTAAAGTATTAACAAGAAAATGATCACGTTATATAAATGTATCTTGTATTATAAATAACGAAACTGATTATTCGTATATTAATCTCGCCGTAAGGGTAAAAAATTGCGAAACTCTTGTTTCTTCCTATAGAAAAGTGTTTCCCTTTTTTTACTAGTACTTCCTGTGTCATTGATACATAATTTAATAGCGATTTATGTTGTATAGATTTAATCATACAAATTTCCTTCATGTGGTAACTTATACGTGCAGAGCCACGCTGCAGCTATGTAATAGTTGTGGTTCGAATGGGTTGGCTCGACCGGGAAAGGACCACGCTTTCACAGAATACCAACGTACAATAGCAGCTTAATACTGCTGTATTTCGGATAGTGAGCGTAGAGATTCGGAGACCCTTTGTTACTGGAAACCAAACATTGTCTGTTAGTCCTCAGGGGCGACAACGCATCTGTAATTTGATTCTTAATCGAGTATAAATGTAGATTTCTATTGGCCATAGCATCCACTTACCATCAGGTAGACTGTGTGCTCATTTGTCACCGTTATTCTATTAAAAAAACTGAACTTGTGGCCTGCAGAAACGTAACCAAACGTTTAGCACATGTGATATAACATATTATTGGTTATCGTACGTACCTCCTGTGGCGGTACATCGTAGGTAAGGGTTCGCAAGTCAACTCGAGCGTAGGTGTCGATACAAGGCAGAATGAAGAAAATTCCTGAAAAGTGTAATTACTAAAAACAATATAATCTATTTGGTGTATGTAATAAAAATAAACTAGTGTATTTAAAACCATATCTTAAATATAAAACCTATTACATTTTTTTAAATAATTTTTTGTCTTCGTATTTTCATACTATTAATAATATATACAAAATGTAATTTGAAATAAAAATCAAAATTAATAATTATTTTGTTGATGCTAATGTCATCGCTGATATTTAAATTAGTAAATTCGTATCATAATACTAAAAACTAAAAAACTTGGTCGTAATCATCATTAAATTTCATAATATCATTATCAAATTCATAATATAATTATTTTAAATTTTAATTACATTACCTGGTCCCTTAGCGCCACCAGAGAGTAGACGTCCCAGACGAAAAATAACAGCTCGCTCGTACTCTAGAACCACCTAATAAAGTTATCGATAAGTGTTACGAGTTATTCTATGTTATTTTTTTTCATAGAAATAAGAGTGACATACAAACAAACGGTCCACCTGATAGTAAGTGAATGCGGCGGACTATAGACATCTACATATATCTATTTTTGATTTAGATTCGAAACGCAGTTGCGTCCTAACCTCTGAAATCTAAGACTGAATGTTTGTCACTCACCATACGAAATACAACAGCAATATTACCGCCATTTCATGTTAGTACTCTGTGCGAGCTCGGTACTTCTCAGTCGAGCTGCCCTATTTGTGTACGACGCTGTTACATGACTCTATGACATATTTCCACGTCCTAGTCCAAATTTATTATTATTTTTTGATAGAGCCATCCTGCAGCCTTTTTATTGTTGTAACATAAACGAGTCAGCTTAATCGGGGAAGAGCCATGCTCTCATTGAACACTAGCGTAAAATGGCAGCTTAATGCTGCTGTGTTTTATATGGTTAGCTTAGAGACCAGGAAACCCTTTTTACTGGAAATTTTTAATTGTAATAAATTCATGATTTATTTTAGAATTAATGTACTTCGTTTACGATTTTTCATCTTTATATTCCAGCCTCTAAGAAGTTTATTTTATATATACTTTTGTCCCTTAATTTAAAGGGTTGGGGGATGCGTGTCTTAAACCTGAAACACGTATTTTTAATTTTTAATAAGAAGTTTCTGTATTTTTATAATTTTCAGATCTTAACATTAAATTACCTTTGTATAGGCCAATCCCTACTAATACTAGTTTGTAGGATAATTACTCGTTTATAACTCCTATAAAATTGATTTTGTGGTCTTTTATAATTTACAACAAAAATGATTTCTTATATTTACTCGAACACTATACATTGATTAAAACTACTGTTACGGATTTTATCGCGTTTTATTTATTTTATTTTTAATATCCGACCCGTCGGGTATTAAGTACGTAAAAAGCAAAGCAAAGTAAGTAAAAGGCGACCAGCACCCATGGTCCCCCGTGACAATGGATGCTGGAAAGTACCCGAAACGACGGGTATTAATACCTAAGTATGTCACGCGTGTTTCCTCTCGCATATTAAGTGTCCCTCGACATAGTTCCTCGGCCTTTACCTCTAAAGTTATAAATATACAGCCACCCACTGCTGCAATAATATACCTCCACCACTACGTAATCTAAAGATAATAGGAAATTTCAAAATACACTTTAAAATATTTACTGAACGAACAGAAGGGAAGTATAAATAATTGATCATGCTTTATTTAAGAATGACCTATTTTTTATTTAGTATTTCTAATCATAAATTTAATTTATACATTTAATGATAATTTAATGATTACTAAGTATTTATTACCGTGGCAGCTCAGATGGCTAACGCTCGTTGTAAATATAACAGAACGCGAGTAACCCGGGTGCGATCCCCGCTGGCACAAATGAAATTGTTACTTGCAATTTTAAGTGCTGATTTACCACGTGCTCGGCGGTGAAGGAAAACATCGTGAGGAAACCTGCATATCTGAGGAATAAGAAAAAAAAATATTTCTAAGACATGTATAGTTCGCCAACACGCATTGGGGGCAGCGCGACGGACACTTCCTTGCCCTAAAACCCTCTCAAAAATGAGGGGAGGTCTGTGCCCAGTGGGACGTATATAGGCTGTAACTTTACTTTACTTTAAGTATTTATTACCCTCTATATATATGTAATTATAAATATTTGTCTATATTTCTGTCATTTTTATTATATATAAACATACATATATACATATATTTATTGTTAACTGTTTAGTAAAACGTTGTGACGTTGCATAAGTAGACGGTCTACAGCACATCTCATATGAGGTATAGAATACAGATTTAGGAAAGAAAAAAATACTTGATCGCATTTAGTTGACCGTCCGAACTTGTTCAGTGGCGTCTGAAAATCAGCGCTGCAAGCTGGTGGATCATGTTGAAGCGGTCCCTTCCACCACTTCATCACAGCATAGTCTTTAGTGTTATTAAGTTAAAAAACCGATACCGAATAACCGAACCGAACCGATAAAATTTGCTAACCAAAATTCTGGAAAACTATTGAGGTCCATAAGATCAGCACTCCTATATTACAGCCATAAAACAGCGGCATTTACTGGCAGTTTCCCATATATGACAACGAAATGTTGGAATAACATCCCACCGACAATATGAAATTTTAACACCAACTACAAGTTTAAAAATAAATTCAAAACATATCTTCTAGATAAACAAAAACAAGGTATTCCCAAACACTTCGTTCGCCAGCTATAAACCATGACATTTTCTTTTTTCTTTTGCTAACTCAACATAGTTTGCTAAGTCATTAATGTACTAGCTTTAATTGGGTACGCAGTCTTACACATCTTTTCCGTAATTTTTACTAAATTAAGCCCAAGATATAAATCGTAGAGCTGAAAGGACACATCATTCACACATATTTTACACCACAATAATATTAACGTGCAAAAAATAGTATTTTCTTTCATTCTTTCTGATTGTACTATTTGTGCTCATTTTCTTCTCGCCAACTCGTGGGTAATAGCTGAAAATTAGTGTTTGCTCTCTGAGCAATATTAATCGCTGAGCTAGGACCCATTTGTTAAACCGCAACACACATGTACATTTAGATCTAAGTTTATGTATTTTTTCCTTCATAATAATGTGATTTGTATATCTAGTTTAATCACTGAATTTACGTGTGTGGTTGGAGAAACAAATAAACGCTTAAAAGCTTTTATTTGTTAGATAAATATTTAGATAAATCTATCTATCTATCATATCACATTGCATACATTTATAATAAACGCATTTCTTTTATTTATTCATATTTCTTGATTTTTTTGTTTGTTTGTCACTTGTTTTATTTTTAATTGTAATTTGTCACGTGTAAGTTTAATGTTGTAGATGTAAGTGTTGGAATAAATGTATTTATGTCTTACAAAATGAACTCCAGCATAAATGCAATGAGACATTTTAAAGGATTTGTCTTTAATAAGTCTCATTCATCATCATCACTACAGCCCTTCACAAATCAACTGCTGAACATAGGCCTCCCGCAAAGAATGCCACAAAGCGCGATCCTGAGCGACTTGCATCCATGGACTTAAAACTTGCGATACCATTCATATCATCTGGAGGACTGGCAGTCCACCATTAAGCGATTTAAAAGAAGTTTTCTTCCTCTCACAACTTCCTTGTGGAGTCAACTGGTGGGATTATTATTATCTAGGTATTTGTTTACTCGCGTAACTTTGGAGATAAGGTGGGTAAATGTTTTGGATAAATGAGCTAAATATTTAAAACTAAACACAATATAATGACTTCATATTTTTGAAATAGTTCTTTCTAAGTTTTAATTTCACACAAGTAATTAGTAACAATTGAAAGTGTTAAAATTATCTAAACAACATTTTTAAATCCGATTTCACTAAGAATAACTACATGTGATTTCACTCTTTAAACTGAGAAATTTTATTTTTAAAAATGATTACAATCAACTTCAGAAAAAGGAGGAGGTTCTTCATTAGTTAGACAGGGGCTACCTCGGGGGTGGCCTCATATAAAGTCAAGATGTGATAATGGTATCCACGAAAAAAATCATTGTCAAATTTACAAAGGCATCTTTATTATATTACCAATTTTGATGATTATATTCTTTTCAGTTCTTCGAAATCGATTCTTACTTTTCTAAAACTTCAATTATGTGTTTCGATAAATGCATGTTTCCATTATAACACATTTTTTATAGTTTACGTGATATAATCTCTACGAAAAACTTCAGTAACACACAGACCGAGATAGACACCGAGGTGATTCCTTAAATCGATCGTTTTAATAATCTTGGCATGAAATACTACTCTTGATATACTTTGCCTTCAGTACACCAACATGACAAATTTCAATTCTTTAATCCACACGAAGAAGGCTGCTGGAAAAAGCTAGTCTGAATTATAACGAATCTCTACGGGTTCTACTAATTATATGAAACAAAGCTTTGTAAAGGGAATGTTTAAGCAAAGTCCTTTTCCCTACCTATAACCTAGTACATTTTTGCCATAGTGAGCACATATGTACATTAAAGTTACACCACAAGAATTGTTTCATGAAATAACTCGTAGGGATTTGTTAAACCATCTGTAATAAGCGTCTTCAAAGAAATTAGTCATACCAGTGGTATAAAACTTTGCATCAACTTGCGACCCAGTGACCCAGGGGTGGAAGTTGATACTAAACATATATTTTCTTTTGATATCAATAGCGATACAATATTTTTTTCTAAAATGAAAAACAATTTAATAACAGAGAATTAATATAATATTTTACATTAAAGGTAAGCTAGAATATTGTAGCATTGTAGACGTTACAAGCCGTGGTAGCTCAAATGGTTAGTGCTCGCTGTAAATTTCACAGTACGCGAGCAAACCGGGTTCGATCCCCGCCGGCACCAATGAAATTGTTAATTGCAATTTTAAGTGGTGATTTACCACGTGCTCGGCGGTGAAGGAAAATATCGTGAGGAAATCTGCATGTCTGAGAAATAAGAAAAAAAATCGAAGACATGTGAAGTTCGCCAACACGCATTGGGGCAGCGTGGCGGATACTTCCTTGCTCTAAAACCCTCTCAATGAGGGGGGTCTGTGCCCAGCAGTGGGACGTATATAGGCTGTAACTTTAAGAGGTTACAAAACTCATGTTAATAAAATAGATCTTAGCAGGGGGAGATGAATCAATGGAAGAGATTTATTATGGTCATAATTTCTGCATTTAACAATTTATGGTAAAATATAATCTCCAACCATTCAAAGCTATTTTTAATAAATAAAATAGCCAAAACATTAATAACTTTTTCAGCCTCCTCGAACGCATCATCACTTTAAAATTGCCCCAGTAAAATAAATTAAGACACACATTCCCCTGTGCCTTCCATGTCTTGTCTTTGTATTGCATTAGCTCAAATATATTTTTTTATATACGAG